TAGCTTCAATTTCTCTAGTCGTGGCAATGTATATTGCCAGGCTATTAAGCGCTTTGGCAGAGTTTCATAGAATTTGCCGAAAACGATCGACCAAAGTCGAAAAGAGAAACATCAGTGTCATCGAAATCTTATGAGAAAGGTTCCGTGGCGAGAGACAGAGAATAATCGGATAGTTGGCTAAACCAAAGGACCAGAATGATTTGACGAGATTCAGGATGGGCAGATCTCCCGACTGTCGCCTCGATTGCGTTTGCAGGAAATAAACCTCATGCACCATGACGTGAACAATTGATACATCAGTGACTGGTTTTGAATTCTGCCAATTCGGACCTAGACATCGTGTCTCCAAATTCTAGGGTTCCGATCCACATACTGCAAAACAAAGTGCTGGTTCTTGATGCTCGTCGAATGGTTTTGTCAAGAGATGTATCGAGAAGCTGTTCGAGTACCCAAACATGAGATCCTTAGGTTGAGCAATAACATGCATACCAATCATCCATTTATCGCTCTTGTGTCCTCATTCCACAGGTCCTTACAGGATATATCCTGGGGCGCTATTGTGGAACATATCGTTCTTGTTACCGTACTTCCCAATCAACCACAACTTACAGGCATCGTACAGTTCCCTTACTCGCCAGACAATTGGAAGCGAAAGTATCTTTCCATCTTTGAAGAGACTTTGAAACCATATGCAGATGGCCTGAGCCCTGCGACTTTTGGTTAGGCTTTGATAACAAAAACTATAAAGGTAGTTTTCATTCTTGAAAAAGTAGGGTTGAGATTCAGGATAAGGCCTTATTAAGAATCTAATAAGAGTTCATTGACCACTTTTCGAGTCCATTTGTGCATATCTCATCAGGGTAGACACTTATTCAGCTCGCCCTTGAAGGCTTAGTCGCAAATTCGGCCTCGAATATAGGACAGATATGGCTGTCTTCTGCTGCGGTTCTAGTAATCTTTCAGCTAGTCGCTTGTGCTCCTTGCTTTTTCGATTCCTTCCAAGCGCGCTTCCAGGTTCGCTTCTTCGACGAGCATCTTGCTGTCTTCCGAAATGTCAGGCAGCATTAATGAATTTGAAAGCAAGGTGAGCACAGTGCACCGACGCTATTATTCCATCGGCTCCTGAAAGGGGACTTTCGAAGCTTCCATTTGCAGTATGTCCATCGATATTTCTGATATCGCGGAGGCTGACAACCTCATAGGGCTATCGTGAGGCAATACGCAGCTCAACATCAAAGCTATGTTGATGTTCGTCTCCCAGAATTGAATCCGTAGGGTATCGATGGAATCTGACTGCCTTGTATGTGCCTGCGAAGTCTTTCCTATTTGGAGGACGTGCTATATAGTTGTGCTTACTTCGCCTTGTAGACGGGATTTGGTGTGATGAGGTCCTCTCTAATGAATGATGCTGAGATCTGTCATTCGTGCTTCGACTGGTGGGCTATCCATACCCATCCTCCTGAGTTTCTTTACGTCATCAATACAAGACCCATGAGTCACTTGGTTTATCGGGTCGTCATCGTTGACTTGTCCTCTCCACGCTTGAAGCCTCGCATCTTATGAGAAATCAGTGCATATTATCAATATCATTTATCTAGATATTCTCACATGTAACGAACGTGACTGTAAAAGAATTTTGAAGCTTGACAATCCCGTGTGAGGGCGAGTATGAGTAAATCATAGTCAAGCATGTGGATTAAATGGCAGGTAAAGACGATATCCCATGGGAGAGGTGCGCGTATTCCACATCGGTGGTGGCGAGGGCGTCCAGGCGGGCTTTGAGGAGGATTGTCTGGCGGAAAAGATCTTGGAGGTAGTTGTGGTCCAGGATCTTAGGGTATCTGTTACTGTCGAGTACTTCAAGTAGAAGCACATCAACTCGCTCGGCATCAAGTAAAATAGCATTTTCAAGGCAGACTAGGGAAGTAAAGGCGTCGATAGGTTCGCCAGTGTAGAGAGGTTGGCATCTGGTACATTGACACCCTGCAACGATAGGATATTCGTCGACGTCAAGATCCTTTGGAGAAACAGAGGTCATCTGTGAGATCCTCACAGCCAAATGTGTCCGAGTAAGAGACTTCTTGTACAATGAATCGAGGAAAGTGCTGAGACAATCAAAGGTTTAACAAAAAGTAGAACGATTGAGACCTAAATTTGACAGGACTTTTGGGAAGACACTGGATTGTCTGCATCGCTAGAGTTTCTTCAAGTTGCATGTCGACATTCAGACAGAAGGCACAAGGAGTGAGGGCATGAGCAAGAAATTTGTTATATATTTATACCCATTCAAATAGCGAACAGAGTTCAAAGAAGACATTTTGACGAAGGAATCTCGTGCATTCGGGAAATAGACAGCCATCCTTCTGAGTATCGTTCAAGTGATGAGGGAAATGGTAAAAGGGATGACACGACCATAGCACTATCATCAACCAACATACATGCGTAACAGAGGATGACCCATGTGGGTAAAAGCACACCAGGACTCAAAGTACACGCGAGCCATCAAGAGGGGAATAGGTGTCTCGACCTTGACATGTAGATCTAAGAGAGGAGTTGTAGAAGACTGAAAGCAATTAGAGAGATCTGAACTGGGCAAAGGTGAAATGAGTTGGCAAGGAAGAAAAGAAGTGGCAGGGAGAAACAAAGGAGGCAGGGCCCATATTCTTCACCTCCCATGTCTTAGCCTGGCATTCACGTTCGGTCACCTGACTCCTATATTTCTTTGTTCCATGTCCGCCGCCACTATTCGCGCCCATTCTTCACCCACCACTCTTCCGTCCCCCCTTCACTCCCCATCTGCCCCTCATCCTTCACGAATCCGAGTCTTAGATCTTTGCCACACTTTCCTTCCTCTTCGTGCGTTCACACCCCACAGATTCACCTTCTCTCCCTCAACGCCACCCAACTTCGCAAACAATACCAAATTTTATTGCCACAGAGCGCACGCCCGTACCCATATCGGCGCTTCACGCAAGCAGCGTCTTTTAATTGAAGAGAGCCGATACAACCGACAGCTGCAATGGTCCAACCGTAACTAATCTAGCCCAATCCAAATAGTAAACTCTCACCAAGCCCTCGCGTCCAAAAACGACATACATAGACGAAGCTGCGAAGAAGTGACGCCTCATAAAATGACAATTGGATGGCCACCACTTCATTTCGAAAACACAAAATAAACAAAGCTGTCCTCGGGTCCGACACAGAAGCACACCGCAATCCCCTTGCCCAAGACCTGATCCTAGTCTTGCCCATGCTAGGGTTACGCAAGAGACATCCACCTGCCTGTACTTAAATGAGATGGAAAAGATAGATCATGAGATAACGAACGAAGAAAAGAACGAGGAAAACTCATAATTGGAATCCCGTAGTCCCTTCCCTACCCTCAATATTTCCATTCCATTTCTCTGTACGGTGACGAATATCCATCTCCATATCTCCACACCAATCCATCTCCCACGACTCAGGAGGTGGGTTGCTGACATTTCCCCTCGCCCTCTCCTTGCCTCTCTTCGCCCTCCTCATTCCGTCTGCATCTTCAACTTTCCCACAATCTCCTGATGATCCCAGTTCGTTGAAGATTGTGGCGTAGATACTGCATCGATACCCCCCCATCTATATAATTACCCATGATTTCACCTACCTCGACGACCTCACACTTTCCGCTCCTTCCCTCCCCCGTTCCTCCTCTGCGCCTTAAACTCCTAACCTCCCAGCTCAGCTCAGTCCAGCCTATTTCAAAGGTGTGATAACCTCCTCCATTCCATCCCAAGACGTCAGCCAGACACATCTCCATAATATATTCCTCCCCTTACCTTCCCCAAGCCCGGTCCAGGCTTGCTACCAATCCTTCGTGACAGAGAAGGGGAGGAAAGAAGGAAAGCGCATATAACACATCGAGGCCTAATGAAGGATATCCCCTCCCTCTCAGCTAACACCCCATTACAGCAACTCATCCCACTCTCGGTCCCCCCCCCCTTTTCCCTGGATTTGCGTCACAAAAGTCAGCCCATCCCATCGCAAAGCCTTCAGTCTGGCTAGATGCCAACAACCCCACTATTCTTACCGCATCCCCATGGAAAAAAGAAAAGAAAAGCACTCCTCGCAACCCCCTTCTTCCCCCCCCCCTCCCCCCTCTCTCTCAATCTCTCAATCTCCAGCCAGGTATCCCTACAATCCCCACCCCGCCCCACGGATCCATGCCTACACAAACCTACCATACCCATACCCATACCCACACAAGTATCCATAGAAAGAAGGACAGGGAAGCTCAAGCATCACATCCCATCCCATCTTCTCCACACACATCTACACAAACATCTACACAAACCTATACAAACAAACATATTCCCCCACTCTCCGGCCCCCCAGCCTTTCGCATGGCAAACATATGCCTCAAAATCTCACTTCAAGGGTAAACACCAACACTATTCCCCCCGCCCCCGAGCAGCTCCTGCTCCCCTTCCCCCCCCTCTTTCCTCCCCCACACCTTTCCCCTCTTTCCCCCCTCTCTCCACCGAACAAACACACTTCTCGCCACAAACCCGCACCCGTATCATGACGATCTTACAATAATGTGGTCTGTCCACTCTTCAATGACAATGGACAACGAATTCCACGAACGAGGAACAGCATAGATACATAAGCCCCACCCCTTCCTCACCTTTTCCCCCGTCTCCGCTAATTACACATACAGACACACACACTTCTCACACACAACTCTTACGCCCAAAAGCCCGACAAAAAACGAGGAAAGACGACCCTCAATCCTCTCCCATCCACCCATCCACCCACTCAATCACGAAGGTAAATTTCCAGCAAACGAGGAATTCCCCCCCCGGGTCCTCCCCTCCTCCTCCTCCTTCCCACCATAAAATCACACACAGGCCCCATCTTAGCTTAGCCCAGAAACCGAAAGCAGAAACAGGAACAGGAACAATAACAATAACAAGATCCCCACGTTCAAAAAAAGCCATTAGTGTCCCGTTCTATTCTAGTCTATTCTATACACCATGGCAGCTTACGATAGCATTGCCATTCCCATTCGAACCTCCATTCCCACTCACACCCCCGCTCGCATTCCCATTGCCATTCACAGTCGCATGCCCATCATTCTTCCCGCACTTCTTCAAATCAAGCACATCGCCCCTTGCCTTCTTCTCATGTCTCCTCTGCGTACTGTCCCATCCAGTGTTACCCCCTTCAGCCTCACGAACACCCCCATTCCCGCCCCCATTCCCAGCACCATTCCCAGCCTCGCCCTCTCTATATCCCCGCTTCTTGCCCCCACCCCTCCTCGAACTACCTTTCCTCCCAACACCCTTGATTTTCACCAACCTACTCCCCCTTCTTCCCATACCCTCTCCCATTCCCTTCCCAATATTTCCCTCCCTAACCCCAGCACCCTCGCCGTCCTCCCTATCCCTCCGTTCCTCCCTCTTCCTCTCCAACCCCCTCCTCGCTTGCCCCACACTGGCCCAACCCCCCTCCTTCCCCCTCTTCCTCTGCTCCCTCGCGACCTCCAGCCTCCCTTTCATGCCCTCCTGCTTCTTCATCTCATCCTCCCTTCTCAACTCGCAAACCACCCTCCACGCGGCGTCCACTTTCGCCCTCGCCATCATCAACTCCTCCTTCTCTTGCCCCATACCCTCGTACTCCTTCTGCCCCTGCGTAATGCGTGCTTTCCTAACCTTCACAACCGGGTCCCTTCCCTTGACGATCTCCTTATGCACGCCTTTCATCGCGTACCCGACTGGGCTTATCACAGCGCTGATATCCTTCAGCACGAAACCACCCAGCCCTTTGCCGACACCCTGGACAAATCCCTTGGCGCCATTTTGTCGAGCGCCGTTGTAGGGCTGTAGGTAGAGACCTGTGAAGCCGTCGTAGAAACCGAGTGTGAATTCTAATCCAGCGGCGCGAAGGCCGGACTTGATGCCGTTGACTTTGGGGGCGGTGCGGACTGTTTCGTCTCCGTAAAGGCGTGGGGCGTTGTGGAAGCCTTGGGCGATGGCGAGGGAGAGGTCCATTGGTACTGATATTGGATGTTAGAGGGGGCTGGCAAGGGAGGAAGGACCAAAGAGAAGGAGGGGAGGAGGAAGGGTAGAGCGCACCTTTTGCTAAGGCTTCGCCTGCTTCTTTGATGCCAGTGCCCGTGTCTCCCGCGAGGTCACACGCGAGGTTTTCAACGGTATCATTAGAAGTGGCGGATGAGCCTGATGGCCAGCTTTTTCGCTTGTTTGGAGAGATGGAAATGGGAGGCTTGAGGAATCTACTTGGCTTGCCGAGATGAGTATTCGTAGGCTCTTGCTGTTGCATTGTGATAGTATTTGGAGCAGGAAGATTTGCCTCAGTCCCATGCTGTCCTTCGTTCTGCAGAGCCCCATTGGGCTTGCTGGATTCGTCTTGCTGGCTGACTGATTGAATTGTGCTAGTTTCACCACTGTTCGTTGCTGTTGTTGACTCTTGCCTCTGTTTCTGCCTTTTCTCTCTCTTCCTGATTCTCTTTGCCCACTTGACGGGCACGCTGCCCATAGCTACCGCAGCACCACCCATTGAATTGAGAATGGCCGCGCCGCCTCCGGTCACTGGCTCTCCTGGACCTGCAAAATCAGTCCATTCGTGATGTTTTATCAACCTCAGGTCTTCCCATTTGATCTTTTTGTCATTGACTAGGAGGTAAGCAGCCAGGGTGGATAGCTTGAGATTAGATTGCTTGAGCAGCCACACTGCGACACGGTCTGGAAGGACGGAACAGCGCATCGAATGCTCACCCGTAGAAGGTAGATGGCGTTCAAATGATTCCACTGCATTCTTTGCGCCATCTCCTTCTTTGGCGATAGATTCGGCAATCTCTTGGGCGGCCTCATTTGCTCCAGTTGTAAGGCATTGCGTGATGCCTTCTGCCAAAGCGTCTGATGTCAAGCGCTTGTAAGGTACAGGCTCTGACGCTCCAGCGCCTGCCTTGCCGACCATCGAGCCCCAGAACGGCTGATCACCGAAGAAAGGAACGATCATAGTCGGCTTTCCACATTTGAGACCTATCGCAGTGGTGCCGGCACCGCCGTGGTGAACGACTGCGCTTACGCGCGGAAAGAGCCAGTCGTGAGGCGTATTCTCGAGCATGTAGATATTGTCGGGTGTATTGCCTTCGTCCCCAAGACCTCCCCAACCTTTACTGACCAGAGCTCTCACACCGGCCTTTTTAACAGCTTCGAAGATGAGGGCAGTGAATTTGTCTGGGTCGTCCACCACTATGCTGCCAAAACCTATGTAAACGGGCGGTTCCCCCGCTGCAAGGAAGTCTGCGAGTGTATCCGGAGGCTTGAATGAAGAGGCAAGATCGAGGAAGACGAAGCCGGTGACGTCGATCTCAGGACCCCAATCATCTGGCTTTGGTACTAGTCCTGGAGACCACATGTAGGTGTATGGGACCTTTTGGCGGTATAGCTGGCCTGGTGCCCACAATGTCGAGACTGGCTCCAGCCCGAGTGTTTTGACCCGAAAGCGATTCACCAGGTCACCGAGACCCTGCCATGTCCTGATTCATGATTAATTGGGTCAAGCGTAATGAGAAAGTCGTGACTTACATCATCTCGACCAGCGGGTATGACATAAAATTAGTATAATTTGCATCGACATTACTGTTCTTGATATTCGCTAAAGGATGTGGAAACTTTTGAGTAGGCGTGTAAGGAAAAGTAAACATTAAGTGTAGTGGTATTTCTAATCGCTCCGCGCAATGTACGTGGGCGAAGGACGGAGGATTCGCAATTATAGCATCCGCAACAAAAGGATTCTTATCGGCCATCATCTTCAGGTTTGCCTTGTTTGGTTCGTCGTCCGTGGCGTTTATACAGGCTCGCCAGAAGCCTTGGAACATCTCGAACATTGCATCGCGTCTACGACCAACCTCCCCTGCTCTTACTGTGGCTGCTGAAGGTATCAAGCCAGGATTCTTTACCATGAATGCCATGAGCTCTGAAGGGTCACCTCCGACCGAGAAGAACTCTAGCTTTGTATCTTCCTCGACAAATTTCTTGAATGCCGGATGGGTTGCTATTCGCACACGGTGCCCGTAGTCCTCCTTCAGCAGCTTACCGATCTTCAGGAATGGCTGTATGTCCCCTCTGCTTCCTATGACCATGATAACGATATTGAGTTTCAAAGCAGGCTTCGTCTCGGACGATATCCCAGAAAGTGTAGAGACCCTTGTGGATACGCGTGCATGGAAGTCAGGTCGTCGGCGTTTGACTTCGAGGACAGGCTTGTGAACATCTTGCGTAGGCTCATGCTTGACTTCATCTTTTCCTTCTGGACGTGTAAGATGGTGTTTAATTGTTGCCCCAAGCGCATTCGCCAAATATCCTCGATTGCTCGTCTCGTTGACATCGATTTTCAGCCTGCCATCTCTTTTAGAGACATTGCCTCTCGTGTTGTATGTGTCATTGCCTACCGAAAATCGGCTATATCTATTCTCAGCATTCTGCTGCTTTTTGTTACCTTTGAAGACGATGTGCTTCTTCTGGTCTTTCTGTGGTGCCTGGCCGCTCAGTTGGCTTGGTTGCGAGATGAACTCTGGCACTTCGTCATCCGACGAGGAATCCGAAGCAGTACTATGACCACCAATTGCATCCGTCAACGCAGTAGGCGCGTGTTCTGTCCTTGCTCTTTTTATGCCGAATCGTGAAGTTCTTTGAGCCGGTACTGGTCTTTCAGATAATTGCGACTTTGGGGGCCGTGGCCTTGGCCGACTCGAGATTTTCGATAGCCCAGGAGTTTGCGGGGTATGAGGATGTAGTACAGGCTCGGTCTTGCTCTTGACGATGTTGTGGTGGTGATCAGAACCCTCCAAGGGCTGAGAGGATGCAGATGTTCCAGCACTTGTCTCTGGGAAGGGAAATTCTGTCGGAGGAGGGATAGGGAGGATGTTGGCCGTGCCGTTCTGGAGGATCTCACCGTCCATGGTGGATCAGGACAAGTCTGTGTTCTGTTGAAGTGGCTGCTCGGTTAGCGAGCTGTCATTGTAGTGTGAGCAGTTAACGCCGTGCAAAGACGTCAGGTGAAAGGATGTGTAGGTTCTGGAAGACAACGCGACATTGAAGTTTGGACAACGGATGAAGAAGTGCATTGAGACGTGGTACAGGGCGAGCGCGTGCAGTTCCGTAGGGACAGTGGTACGATCAACATTCGTCATAACAACATCGGGTACCTGGGCAGTCGTGACTGCCAAACAGGGACAATTAGCATGGATCGCGACGGAGCATCAGCCACTGGAATGCTTCCATCAAGGCACGTAGAATATGGCCCGGCTCGTGCGGCCACGTCAGCATGCGCAGAGCCTGCATTTCATCAATGGAAACCTGATCGGAAACCGAGCTGGTACAAAGCAGAAGCTTGGAACGCTCAATCCGGAGTAAATGAAGCTGCAGGTACACTTGGCTAGCGGAAGATCGGCAGCTACATCCAGCCAATTGCCGGCGCCTCAAGTCTCTATAATCTTATATCCGCGGGGTCTTAGGGAGCCTCATTCTAGGGGCCAAATAGGGATATATCAGGGAGGTCAAGTTAAATGGTAAGAAAGATACATGCTCATCCAGCATCTGTCTATACCCAACGCTACATGCCTCCTCGCTCACAACCTCGCCCTCACCCTTTCCCCCTATCGTTCCATCAGCCCCATCTCCTCCGTCTCTCCCTCCTCCCCTCCTCCCTCCCCCACGCCCAACATCACCCCCTCACTCATCAGCCCTCCCACACGTTCCGCTTCCCTCTCGTCCCCCTCTCTTACAGCCCTCATATACCGTTTCTGCAACTCCACCCCCCTCTTCCTCTCCTTCTCCGCCTTCTCCCTCGCCTCTTTCTCCCTCCGATCTTTCGTCTTACTACTCCCCGACGGTGCGACACTCGTTACCAACACGCCCGCGTCTGCGAGGGTGAAATTCTTGAATTCGAAGCTACCACCGCCTCTACCCACCCCTGCCACGCTACTTTTACCGCTGTTGGTACGCGGGTTTGAGGGCGGAGGCGGCATAGCTGACCCAGGCGTGCTGGGCGTGGTATGCGGGATCGATTGCTGCGACCGATGCGTCTTGAGCCCGCCGTTGGATTTTGAGCGCGAGATCGACGATGCCGAGCGTGGGCTTCGGAGGTCGGACGAGCGGGTGCGATGAGGATGGCGGAGCGAGGAGGCTGACTTTGGGAGGCGCAGGGGAGGGGCGCTGGGGCGGCGTCGGCGTGCAGGACGTGTGCTTGGTGTGGAAGCGTCTTTGGCTGTGGGTGTAGTTGGTGGGGTGGAGGGTGTGGGTGGAGCGGGGGGTGGCCAGGATTGTACGCCGGGAGAGGTGGTGAAGGGGGATATGGGGTAGTCTTGATTTGGTGAGTGAACATCGCCGGCAAGGGCATTTTGGGGGAAAGGCTGGGACGAGTTGGAATGGAAGGGGTTCCACCAATTTGGAGAAGTGGGGGAGGGAATGGTGTCGGTTTGGGCGGTGACGTTCGTGAAGTAGGAGGAGCCATTTCGCTGGACTGTGTTGTTCCAATCGTGCATCTGAGTCGGTGAGATGGTGGAGTCTTGCTGTATGAATTGTGCCTGGTCCCATTCTTGCGGCATTTGGCCTTGAGACGATGGGTCCTGCTTTGTAGTGGGAGATGCAAAGTCTCTGTTAGGGCTTCCTGCGGACGAGGACGTCGGGGGTAGCATTGGAAAGAAAGTCATCGAATGACTCGAGTTTCGATTGTTGCTTGGGCTCTCTTGAAATCTTGGTCGTGAGACTTGCTCGTTGTTGCTTTGGTGATGCTGCGCATCCGGAAGCCCGTGTGTATACGGAGAGTAGATAGGCGAGTTGACTGCCCCTGCGGAAGCGTCCTCTGGTATTGGAGAGCTCAAGCCGGCTTGGAAAGCCTCAGGCTGCTGCATGCTCATCTGCTCGAATTTATGAGTCCAATCATGATGAGCGTCTTGCGCTGGTCGCATCTTTTCACTGGATCCAGTCTTGCACACTCTGTTGGGTCTGTGCTGCTCAATTGTTTGCGAGATGATAGACTTGCTCTTCCGCGACAGTGTGTGGCAGCCCGACTTTTGAAGCGGTAATGTTTCCTTGCTCTTGGTTCGACTCTTGCCCTCAATGCTGAGGAGTTCACTCGCTGATATAGATGAGGTGAGTTGCGGAGGTCGCCGTAAGACTCGGTGCGGTCGAAGTGCACTTGCGCGTTCGGAGACAGACGAGGTCTCTTGAGGTTGTGATAGCTGCGGAGGTTGATTGCTTGAAGCGTTACTCTCCACCGATAGGCTTTCTCCTGTAGTTGACCCTTCATTGAAATCCAAGTCGAATTTGTGATCGTCATGGTGCTCGAGGTCAATGCAGTTGAACAGGAGATCTGGCGAATCATGAATGAGAGTCTGATCAAAGAAAGAGAACTGATAATCGTCATCTTGTGAGAATTTCTGACCTTTGTCGGAGAACTGATGGGAGTCAAAGGCAGCCATGTCGATTGACCGTTTGCGGTCAGTAAACACTGCCTGCGCAGTACCAGAGCCCGGGGATGAGATGGCGAACGAGGGTCTTTGTCTCGACCGCAAATCAATCTGAGGGACACATGCAACATGAGCAGCAACGAAGAACGTATGCTTGAGATTCTACGTCGTCTATGGCGACAGCCACATGAAGTTCAAGAATTCATAAACATTGCATTCATGTAGGGCAGAGCTGACAACGCTAGTCACATTCCTCGCTTCAAAACAAGGGATTGTTGTACGTACTTATTGATCGAAATTTTGTACTGCTGGCATTTGACCAAGTCCGCCTCCACCTGTGCCTTTGACGCTTTGCTCAAGTCCCCGCCCATGTACGCCAGCCGCCGGCTCTTCATGTACCCCACCCGCACTGCGATCAATGACGTGCTTCTTCAGTAAAGAGAGTATTTCGCTATTATGCCAACGCTGAGGTACAGGCCTGTATGCTGGCTTGAAAGTCCCCACAGTCTGCGCCCACTCGCCAGAGCGGGGTGCTCCGTTCCGCCAGGCGTCTGTATCTGTTGAAGTGCCTTGAGCAGCAGGGGTAGCACTTTCAGGCCCAGCCCCCTCAGCTGTCTCACGACTGGTCGGCGATGGCTCTTGTGTAGCCCAGTAGTATATATCCCAATCATTTTCGTCAAGAAAGAGGTCGTACTGACGTAATTGGGCAGGCGTCATGCGCGGCAGGTTGGCGTCGGCAAAGGTGGAGAGGAGGAGGTCACTTTCGAGGGTCCCCCTCTTTCGGCTCTGGTCTGTATAGTATAATGTTTGTCAGCTATCTTCCATAGCTTGACTTGGTGGGAAAGACGCTGTGAAACAGACATAACAACCTCGCGCGCATGGTGTTGGCGTCTTCCCCCGTCCTCCTCTTTGGCTCTACTTTGAAGCTTGCTCCTTCCATCTCTCCAACATCAAGTTCTGAATTTACACCTTCTTGAGGACTGCCAGTTTGTGTTCCGCCTGTCATACGTTCTGTATTCTCTGGAATGGAGTCTTTTGGGGTGAAGTTTGGGTCAACGGAGCTGATGAGCTCAGGTGGTGCTTTGTCGGCTCCCACCTGAGGCATCTCATTGGCAATTGTAGAAGTCGTGTTCGTCATATGAGGGTTCGTTGGCTTTGACTTTTGGCTCTGCTCCCACTCTTGAGCATTTTCGTTTGAATGCGGAGCAGCAAGGAAACGGGTGCTTGTGGACAGAGGCCGTCTAGCCAGAGTTGAGCAGGGCACAGCGCGTGCGAGGTATTTCAAAGAGGACATGATAAGGACTTGCGATGAGCGCAATGACAACGATGCAGAGTAATCAAGGAGTCTAAGGAGCTTGAGGGAGTTGTCGAAGAGATGCAGTTCCTTTGACATCATTCTCGTGCCAAGTGAACTCGGTGCACACTCGGTGCCCGGTGCTCTAGATTAGACTAAATGCAGAATTTTTCCCCCTTCGATTAACTTGGCTTTTACGAAGTACTCTCCGCCGGCCAAGTAGTAGTATACTAGTTGTGTAAGCTACATTCTGGGCATGAGGTGAGTTCACCAGCTGTGGTAAACTTCCAAGGTACGCATCTGTTGTGAGGCAGAATAGGCCATGCGCTTGCCATTCTTACTGATGTTGCGGCACCAGTATCCGCTGCGAGGGCGCGACTTTCACATTTTTCAGAAGCTTCATTCATCTATCAACGTATCGTATTGACTCGTACCATATGCGAATATCGCTTCATCATCCCAATCCAAATTTTGGACCTCATTCCTAGCCAGATTGGCCTCGACGACTTCAAAGGTTTGGTTTACGAGATCTTCCGTTGGCGAATAAATCTGAAGACGATTGATATGCCAGACAAATCGTTTCAGTAGATCGTTGCCCATCCATTCCCCCTCAGTACCGTACGTCGATGCCAAATGCAAAGTAAGGAGTCTGATCCTATTATTATAGCCCCGGATCATTTTGAGGCATTTTGCCCACACCTCGAACATGTATACTTTTGCTTGAATTTGTAAAGTTCTCGATAGCTGGATTTGCGCAAGAACGTTGTTGTTGTACTCACGTGAAGCCCTAAGAGGTTGGGGGAAATCTTCGAGGTATTGGAGACAATGAGAGCAGAAGAAGTTCAGTCCCAGCTCTAGATGAATAGCGTCGTCTCGGTCAATGAAAGGGAGCAGCAACTCACATCTGCGGTTCCAGTCCGGCACCTCATTGTGAATACTTGAGTCTGGTCTGACTGACCCGATGACCCATTCGGTACGGTGGGGATGTGCTTGGAATATGTTGTGAGCCGACCGATCCACCTCAAGATGCTGGGAGATCTCCAAATTCCTTTCGGACAACTCCAGGCGTTGTGGACCAAACTCTTGACGGACAAATTCCGATCTTATCATGTCAAAAAGCTCCCGCGGCAGATCTTGAAGCAGACGAGTGAAAGCGGGATCGACGTCTCTTCTGAACACTTCTTTCTCCTTCTGCTTGTGTGACTCGCAGTGGCTATCGATATAGAGTGCATCCTCAGCTCTCTTGGCGAGGGGCCTTTTAGGTGACTTGTGGATATGTAGAAGTCTTTTGCAGACGCCTGGACCGCGAGATGTGCAGAAAAGAAGACTTGGCTCCTGAAGCATGGGCAGCTCATCGATTCGAACAGGATCGTGTGATGTGGAAGGTAGGAGGTTCGAGTATTTTGCGCAAGCTGCTCCATAATCTGGAAATTGGTCGAAATGACACGTCGTCAAATGGAATATGAGTTTTCTTGCTTCTTCTTCAGTATGTTCCTCTAAGCCCTGTAAAAATCTGCTCTTTGATTCCTCGAAGACATCCAACAAGCCTCTCATTGACGTCACGACCGGTTTCTTGCTCTTTCTTGTTTCGTCTCGGCACCACGAGTATGCGTCCCAGATGTCGGCGCGCTTTTGAACTACAAACCCAAACCAAAACTCATCAAAGTCTAGTGATACTTTGGGAGGTCCATCGACTTTGGAAGGCTTGTCGATGGAGTTTAGGCAGTCCCACTCATCCCAGAAGGCCTTCGTCGCATCGAACGAGCTGCTCTTGCTCGAGGAGTCCTCGGCACCATCCTTGGGGCTGCTCATATTGGGACCTGAATGCGGAACGAGGGGAGGAGAGTGAACAAAGAGCGAACTTGTGTTCTTTGTCCTCGAGGTTGGGCCTGTGGAGTGTCACTTAGCCCCAACGTCCTACTTGACGCAAGCGGCGACCAATAAACTCTTACGCTCGCTGTTTGAAGACTCACTTGCAGGTCTAGAGGGGCCTACACAGTGAAGCTCACTTGTCTTCGCCTCAAACAGGCTGTCGTGTGCTTCAGTGATCACTTCTCATTCCTGAGTGTGCAGTGGAAGAGAGTATTTGTGAATCACGGAAAGCGAACGGTAAGAAACGGCTCCTAGACGTGTTGTGGTGGCTTTTGCTCGGCAGGACTTATTGGGTTGTCTGACAGTCCTAACCTTACACGTCGTTCAACGGTCATGTAGGACAAGCTCGACAGCTCTAAGGCATCAAGCATACACCTCTCCTTTCTTACCAACCATCGAGGGCTACACGACTACATGTACCCTCCGCACTTGCCTCTTCAGCCTTGAAACACCAAGCTTTGAGACTTGCGCGTGTACCTGTACGACATGCAAGAGTGAAATACAATGAATTTTGTGAATTAAGACCGGAGTTCCACTTGCCATCCTATTCACCAACCAACCTATGCGTGTGATATCCATATTTCCACCGCAGCGCGTGGCAATACTGCAATATTCCAAGACATGTGATGGCCGCAAGTGTGAGGCGGCCTCAGCAGATCCCATCACCACCGCCCCCCAAAATCTATAAAAGATTCCTCCTCCCCCTTCTTCTTCATCTTGCAAACCATCGACCAAAGGCCCCTCTTCCCCCAAGACTGGGGTTCTCGAGACATGTGATGGCTCCAAGTGGAGGGTAACACCAGAAACTTGCATCACAGTGATCTCCATCGTCTATAAAGACTGCCTCCTCCCCTTCATCTTCTTCTTCGCTTCAATCATCCGACCAAGGGCCTTCCCCTTTCTGGAGCTGCGACTTTCGACACAGTTGACGAGCTGAAGTGGAAGGTTACACTCGAACCCTCCATCACAGGATCCTCCCAGGTCTATAAAGTCTCCCTCCTTCCTTCTTTTTTTCAATCAGCCGACCTGGGCCTTCCTCTTCTTCGGACTACAGCTTTCGACACACTCGACGGGCTTACGTGGAAGTTGACACCAGAAGCTTCCATCACGGGACCTTCCAAAGTCTATAAAGTCTTCCTCGTTCCCCCAGTCTTCTTCCTTCCTCCAACCAAACGACCTAGGGATCTTTCCCTCCTATATATATACTCTCGCCGACTCTTCTGTCTTCCTTCTTCTCTAAGCTCACCCTTCTGCTAGACCTGCTATGGCTCACACCGAAGGGAAATATAACTCGTCTCGAAGCCTCCTTTCCATGGAGCCATAGCACACCTGGTCTCAGCATTCTCAGCATTCTTTCTAAATATATATATATCCTTTCGACATTCGTCTCCGCGGCTTGCCCAAGGACCGATATACAGCAACAGGTATGTTATTGCAAGCAAGCCTGCCTTCTCTTGTCTTTCCCTTAAGAACATCAGCCATGCCTCAGTCATCATCGCCGTTGATGAGTTTGACTAACGTTTGTCCTACAGGTCTTTCGAAGCATCAGAGGCTCAGAGTATGGTTCACTTCGACCCACATCGACGCTATCGTCGTTGCTCCTTCGTTCCGGCCCCCTTGAAGGGCTTTCGAGCTTGACCCGTGCAACCAGACATCTGCATCTTCCCAACTTCAAGCGTATGAGACATCCGAATTTGAATTGGTTTACCATAACAATCAATTGGCTTACCACGAAATGAACAACCTAGTCGTGTCGACCGTTAACAAGTTACTTTTCAGCGAGCAAAAAGTTAGGATTCGTAGCCCCGACGCAGCTGGTCCTTGGTGGTCTCGAGTGGGTCTACTGCTCTGCCGACTCTTCAAATCGATTCGAGTAATGTCTCTCGAGAACTTGATCTATTCGAACTCGCGGAGCCTCGAATCCCGGTGCTGTCGTGTCTTCTCTACATGACAGGATTTACGGGAGATGGCCGTTTTGCAGGACGAGGAAGATGTAACACCATCTGCGGCTTCTGTCAGATCCTGAAGGGCCCAAGATTGATCGTTGGATGTTGTTGGAATGCCCAGTACATCCTCAGACCTTACGAAGCAACTCGGCAATTCTCCTTGCAAAGATCAAGTCACAAGCACCCGCCATTCACGGTCTTGCAATTGAGGAAGAGCTCAGTTCTCCACGGTCTCGTATCTTTCCTGTCTGGACAATGGCAATTGTGTCTCCGAAGCGAGCTCGACGAAGAAGCAGCCTAGCGCACGGTCTTGCGCGCTCACCAACGTACTTCAGCTCTTGATCAAGTTCCTCCCTCAGAGACTTCACTCAGGTCCTTGGATCTCATCGGTTCTGCTAAGTTAATCTGTCGTGATCGACGAAACGGAGAACATGGCAGCCAGTGAACGGTCGGTCGGCTTTGTGGCAAGCAACATCTCACTGCATAAAAGAGCGGACACTCAACCTACCTCGTCTTTGCCTAGCCATGTGACGAAGTCTTCGCTTCAACAACACGAGGACCCGCGACTGGTGAGCGTAAGTCATGAGACCGAAAATGTCTAAGAACAAGATAGTCAAGCTACAGCCAAGGGCGTAAAGGGGCTGTACAAAGTCCTACATGAAATAGCTCCCCGGCCCACCTGGCTAACTATCCACGTTCGGTCAATAGGTCTCTTTGAGAACTTACTGCTACCCTGAGGCTGGGCGCCTTGACTGGGGGACAGGGAATGCCGTGACAGAATACGGGTCTTCGTGGTGCTCCCTTTCCTAAAGTCAGGCGCATCGCTCTTGAATAGCACGCAATGTTCGAATGCGAAGACAACAATCAGCTCAAGATGATACTGAAGAAACGACTCTTCATTCACTTTAAACCAACGGTGACATCAGGAATCGGCACTCGTGTCGCTGCCACCAAGTGCATGGCAAGTCAGGCCAGCTCCGGAGTTCAACAGCAGAGTCACTGCCACGGATCGAAAAACTGTTTCAAGATGGACTCAAGAGATGGACTCAAGAGTAGTACGTCCCTGCGAGTGCATTTGGCTTCATACACTCGTTCTGGAATGCATCACACCAATTCTTTCATGACCAGCCTCGTCGTGGAAGCTCTTCTTCCTATTTTCAATCAGGACTGAATCAACATGCACGTTCACCGAATCTCGGTCCCTGGTCTTGCAAAGTAGGAAGTTTTCGGCTGCACCAGGCGTCCTGATCAAAGTACAAGCACAACAGGATGCTGTCTGATGCGCAAACCATCAAAGGAGCTCTCTCTACAAAATGATACGACCCTTTCTGGCTGTGCATCGGCTCAAAAGGTCTCACAGACAGTAGATGGCCCTCCGCAGAATTCTCCCACGCAGCTAGACAACGATACATGAGCGAAGAGAATCAGGTGATGAAACAGGAGAATGACGCTCTCATACAGCAGCTCCTCGGCGAAGATCTACGAATCCCAACAACGCGAGTCATGGCTCAGATCGGAATGCGGCAACTGAAGTTAAAGAGGGGGCAGACTCAAAACGAGCATGCCCTAGCTCATCAGTTGCCACAGAGGTTCTCAGGTGCCAGCGATGGCCCAGTGCAGGCTTACGAGCAAGGCCGGAAGCATGTGTGGCCGGGTCCTGCTTCGTACCAAGCAATGAACACAGCTCCATGCAGGTTTCATCGATCCCGATCACAGACTTCCGCAAAAGTTGCTCGGGCACTTTCACCGGATATATTGAGACGCAACGCATATGGCAGGGCTATCTGGCAACGACTGACTGCACCCGTGACATATTACTATGTGCCGAAGGGACTGATCAGAGTATCGACGGCGTCCGTGGAGTCACGACCTGACCAAGATCTGTATGACTAAATACGCCTTCGCTGGTTGGACCTGAACAGAGAGCAGAATTCCCACCACTACATTTCGTGAAGCCCCATGTCCTCTCTATAAATATAAATCCGGAAATGTCACCAGATGCCAACGAAAGTCTTCTGGTTCCAGCAACAAGTCTTCACAGAAGAAGACAAGCGGCAACGGAAAATGGCGACGGTCTCTCGTCGCAAATGATGCCACCACCTCAATTCTAAATATATATTATATCCAGCAAGCTATTGCAGGTAGTCGTCTGCTCTGCCCCATACCTCTGCCTCCATCAGGCTACCCGGCATCCCCAGCGCCAGATGCCATCGATCTTGGCACTTACACCTCAAGGGGTGGCAAGGCTGGTGGCTTCAGAAGAAACAGGATATTGGTCCGACAGCTCGATTGAGGAGCCTCCTGGAGCTTCTCTCACCATGCCTTGCTCGTTGAGACGAGTCTTTAATACAAAAGCTGGCAGAATCAATTCGGCTCTGACCATATCCTGGTCGTTGCGTCACCTCCGCAGCCCACGTGTGTGGCTCCACAATACTTTCGAGAAATGAAACCCTACTGGTGCATACGAATTATGCTGGTGCTTTCTCGGGCCTGGTCAGAAAAGTCAAGGACAAACACGCGTCGGGGACAGCGCAGCGCAATATGCGTACCGGATGGGCTACCGTGCTGGGCAATACGTGCATTGTGACGTTATGGTTTGCCGAGATACGTGCAGCATATAATGAGAAATGTGGAGCATGTTTTGAGTGGATGGCGTGGCGTCAGGAGTATTCGGAGAAGATCCACAAGATTGAGGCATGAGGTGGATTCACCGAGCCTTCGACACTACAGAGAGTCTCTGGAGACTCTAAGCAAGATTGCTGCGCCCGATCCTGCGAATCCCATGGCTCTTTTCATGCAAGAGCGAGCGAGGTCGAATGAAAGGCCTGCAGCTGTTTATTTCATTTGTCTCCATCCACATCCATCTTCATCTATCAGCAATTCCTGATGATGATGCGTACAAGGAAGGTGGGAAGTGGGCACGACGACGGTGTGGGCCTTTTGTCGTCGTACGATCAAGGATATTTGGGGTCCTGGCAAAAGAGAAAGACGCCCTGGTCGCATTTGGTTTCATACACAACTTTACCATCCAAGAGACCTATGAATCTCTGTCATTCATCGACGCCAATTTTATCTGGTCCAGCAAACATCAAGCCCCAGAATCATGAGATTCTTCGCAGGGGAGCTCGAATCAAATGCCATCAATGTACTATGGAGACGATGATCCAGAGCCCATGGATATCGATCTCGATGCATCACCTGTCTAAGGAGCGGTGAGTCCTGCGGCTCTTCTGGAAGTGAATCTAGCTGCTCCTAGGCGAACATACGGGCGATGTACGGCGAGAATGCCACCAGAGAGTGGAGACTCTTCTGGCGCAAAATCTGACGACAACCACATCAGCCGCACATAACTCGTATTGGGTGATGAGGTCAAAAGGAATCATAGCGATCATCCTTGAATATGCATCGCGCAGCGTGGCCTTCTCTACCATCTCAGCGCTCGCTCTCGCTCCCCGACTTTCAAACGAAAGCGACGTGACAAGATGTGGCTACCTGTGGGAGGCTCAGGGCGACCACATCGAGCTCAACTCGAAGCCTGCACTTGAAATCAGCACATTCAAAATCAACGTGACCGACAAAGTCACTCTAAATATATATAACGGCAGAATACTCTATCCACATAGGCTGGCGCCTGCCACAAGGAGCGCCATATCAGCCCAGGATCCCGGGTTCATGGGTTTTGGGGATCGATTGACGTGTCTCTAGTAGCGACAAGGCAGCTTAAGATAAGCCTGCCAATGATGTCCGCCTTTTAATCAAATGTTGGAATCCTCTTGCAAGATAGCAGCACTCACGTGACGATGCCTCAGTGTGAGGTTCTAAGGAGGAAAGTACGCCCATTTTGGTGGTGGTGGTGCTGCCTAGCAAATCCACATGTGGAGATCGCGTTTGTGCTCGGCTTTGTCGGCTGTGACTATCGAGATCCATTGCCGCCGGGTTGAAGCATACGACGCATGCAACATTAAGAATGCCTCTCGTTGTCTCGTTGATAAGCCAACACCATGAATCGCGGACGAAGAACACACAGAATGGAGGCCCTCCAATCAGTGCGAATCCGAAGCAACGGCGTGGCTGGCCCGTTCCTTGTCATAGAGTACCACCTGGAGAAGTATACAGCTGGAATATTTCTTGTGGCAGTCTATGATACGCACTCCATCGTAAAGCTTCCATGAGATCTGAGCTCGTTCAGCCAGCCTTGTCCACGACTACGCGGAGAAGGTTCCAGTCGAAGTGGCGTGCACGCTGGAATGGCAAAAACTTGAAGAAAATTGCGTGTCCTCTTCAGCACATAACGACATGAATACTCCGTTGGACTTGTTCGGAACTGAGAAGCTCTTTGACAAAAATGCCTTGAACATCTGGGCTGCGTATGATTTGCACCTGTATGTGATAGCCTTCCCTCCTGACTACCTTTTACGACAGCGCGATGGCTTCATCGACTAAGGACAAACTTCCAGCACTCAATGGGCTGTCTTCTGAACGCTATTTTCCACAGCAGATACATTCTAAATATATACATCCAATGATACGGCTCTTGTACGATGGCCATTCATATACGGCATCTTTGACCCCCAAGCCTGGCATATCCGACAATTTAATGGCCTTGAAGAGGCAGGAGGATGGGGAATACGAGGCGACAGTCCGTGAGTCAAGAGATCACAGCATAGAATTGCTGTGTCTGGTCCGTCAGGTTCATGGTATTCAACAGCCAACAGCAATCACGAACCGGATGGGGGGGTGATTGAGATCGAAGATAGTGATGAGGAGGCGGAGGGGATGAGTATTTGTGAGCGCCATCATACCGTGAAGTTCAAATGTGCTTTGCGGACAGCGCTCTCTGCTTCTTCGACAAACCCGACCCTCACTGCGATTTGTGGAACATGGACCCGACTCAACTCTAGGGACCCTGCTCTTCCGCGAGGCTTGGATGGCGGTCCATGACTTCAAGTGGGCCAGAAGATCAGTCCAGGATCGACATTTCGAGCCCATCTGCCTTCACGACAACGCTGACATCAGAACATGAGCAAGGCTTGCAAACGCTCATGACCCTGATTTCGCGCGGAGCTCCGCCGGACCCTTCGACTGGCATCACAAAGCCAAGAGAAGGACTGCTTGAATCCGCTACTCCCACCCAGCCTTGAGTTCCGGTCGATTCAGTGTATGCAAAGATCGCCTGGCGCGGAGCATGACTAATGAAGATCTATTGTCTTCGAGGATCATAGGTACCTTGGAGATAACTTCCGCTATGATGAGGAGTTTCAGATACACTCCCAACTAGCACCATGCCCATTTCGACTAGCACCACCCTCACCTATCTACGAGCTTGACCCTTACCTCCATACCCTTCTCACAAATCATCTTACCCAGTGTTCCAACAGCGACCTCTCAGTGATTAATGAGAGATAACGCCCAACACTTGGATGTATGTTTTCATTCATCAACGACAGCCCCGATTCCAAGGCTATAAATATATATACACAAAAGTGGTACAGCTGAATCCTGCCGATTTCTAATTCTTCTGGTGCCCCGTCGTCCTCCACAGCTTCTACGACCCCCCTGCCATTCACCCAGTCGAGTGTCCGTGTGATCTGCATGACCCGCTCATATCCTGGCCATGGAAGACGCCGCTTGGATACAATGTCGAACATCTGGGGGTCCATCAAAGCAAGGATAGGATCGCAGCTCTCGGCCTATCGCTGCCTGTGCTCTCCGGACTCCAACACTGTTCCCGTCGCATCTCGGCTGCATCACGCACGGGATCTCCGATAGACTGCTCTTCGTGCGATGGCTAAGTCGCTACTTCAGAAGTTTACAGACGAGTGGGAGTGGATCAGGAGCAGAGAGGGAGTCAGGGAAGATCTGAGCCAGCCGGTCGACAATTCCAATGCAGTCAGTGGTCGGGATGGAAAACACTCACAGCAAGTCCAACGTAGCTTCCAGCAGAGCTACGGAATCAGAAGCTTCTGCTTCCGCAATGGCTATCTATCCGCCCCACACTCCCCAAGCATCGTGCCAACCTTATAGCGGGTAGGCGATACGCTAGAATGAAATGCACGTCTCTTTGATAGACGATCAAATGAAGGTCGCCAAACAGAACTTGGGAGCTTGCAGATGCCAACCCAGGGGAAAGGCGGTGTGGTTCACGGAGAGGGAGATACGCACCGCAAGCGCCATTGTCGATGTGGCTCTTCGTACTTGCTGCAGTCTCCGACTTCTTGGTGGTCCAAAGTGCAAGATCTGGCTCTCAAGGTTGCAGGCAGACTTGGTTTTCAAAGCAATGGCGCCTTAATGTCTGCTTCTCATGAGTCTGCAAGCGCTGCATAGAATCTGGTCCCCCTTCGGTCGAGCCCAGCAGCAACAAGGCTCGTTGTCGCCCTCGCAGCCACATCACAACAAGAGCATACAAACTTTACGTCGCAGACTTCTGAATGGCCATGACTACGAGTACAATTAGTTGAGAACCTTCGAAGCCTTCTCGTTGTGGAGCTCAACGATGGGGTCGTCGGCGTGACTTTGACCTCGACATGAGAAAGACGAGGCGAAAAATGGGGCAATACTCCGACGGAAGTGTCATTGAAGCTGCTAGATCCTGATTCTGATCTGATATCAAACATGACACACGGTCTTCAGGAGCTTGTTGCTGGACAGGGAGTTGTAGCGACGCCGAGAGCTTAGTGGGTGCCTGAGGAGAGACAATACAACGCTACTTTGACTGCTATCTGGAAGATGTTGAGAGGCTATTGCCGAGAGCCTGGCCTTGGAATAATTAGTTTTCCTCCTTATCACACGGATGGATGCGATTATCGCTGGAAATCATGTTCGTTCCAACACTCTGCCGACTCACTACCCGAGTAAGGGGACATCACGCACATCTATAGGATCGTTCCGTGCGG